AGTCGTGGTGAGCTGGTGTGATCTGTCCCTGTGGTCACAGCTCCTACCAGCCAGGTCAGAGACACACCAACTCGTTACGATTGGGTTCCCGGCTACCTTAGTCTGCCTAGCAGGGAACACCAGCAAAGTAATTACTTCTATTTAGTTAAGTTAGGTTAAACCTACGGGTTGAGTCAGGGTCCAGTACGCCCCTGACGCCCATTATCGCCTTAAGCTGGCAGGACCTTCTCCTCCTGTGTTACATGTACAGTCAGAAACCATAACCTCTGACCCACTAGGTTGAGCGGGAGGTGAGGCTAGGGTGGTGTTTCTGATCGGCGGCTCACTGCAATGGCCCCGTGGCCAGACACAGGTTGAACAGGCGAGGCGATAGTTCAACAAAAGTATACAGGCGAGGCGATAGTTCAGTAAAAGTATGCAGGAGTGTTCCAGCTGGGCACCGTGGACAGAGCCAGGGTAGCCAGAAAGTCTCCATAAGAATATTTGATGTTAATGATATTGGTATTAAAAATGATACTGATCATGTTAACGGTGTAGGTGTAAGAAAATCCTCTTTTTAGTCAGTTGTTCATTACCATTTCAGCATTAACATTAATGTCTTAATAAAATGATAAACCAAAGTTACACAAACTGAAACAACAATAATTTATATTTCAACAAGTAATATTGACAATTAATATGTCCTTTAAAACTGATGTTAGGAGTAACATCACAATCAGTGTGGTGATTAATGCGATGGTGTTTGTGATGATGGTGCTTCTCTGTGTGGTGAGTGTGATGATGGTGCGTCTCTGTGTGGCGAGTGTGATGATGGTGCTTCACTGTGTGGTGAGTGTGATGATGGTGCTTCTGTATGTAGTGAGTGTGATGATGGTGCTTCTCTTTGATATATCTCATGTCTTATAGAGACATTATTAACAACAAATTACAAAAATTTCTTAACTTTATTAGACAATACTTTTAAAACAGTATAAGAAATGTTCATGTGTTTCTGTGTGAGTCACTTCATGAAACTCTCTAATTATTTCCTTGCTGGCCATAGAATAATGATGAACCACTGCTGTGTATCACATCATTACCTTGTCCCCTTGGCAAGTTATATTCATGTGTTGTCAAAAAATTTAAACACGTCATGACAGGATATGTCTACCACACACCACCTTCTCTCCTATTCCCTTCACCCTGTTCTTGTTTCTTAGCCACCCGTGTGTGTGTGTGTGCGTGTGTGTGTGTGTGTGTGTGTGTGTGTGTGTGTGTGTGTGTGTGTGTGTGTGTGTGTGTGTGTGCGTGTGTGTGTGTGTGTGTGTGTGTGTGTGTGTGCGTGTGCGTGTGCGTGTGTGTGTGTGTGTGTGTGTGTGTGTGTGTGTGTGTGTGTGTGTATGTGTGTGTGTGCGTGTGCGTGTGCGTGTGTGTCCGCCAAATAGGGATAATGGGATAATCTTTTTTCATTGTTATGGCAATGTAAATTCATTTGCATATGAAAAAAAATGCTGTTTCATAATAAGACGTCGTTTACAGTCATAATATATTCAAATTATACAGCCTTAACAACATCAACCTCAACCTAGAGAAGTCGACTTGTGAAAGAGACCTTGGGGTACTTGTAAGCCCGGACCTACGGCCTAGAAAACAGTGCGTTAATGTTCGAAATAAGGCAAACAGAGTATTGGGTTTTATATCTAGAAGTGTAAGTAATAAGAGTGCAGAGGTCTTATTGCAACTATATCTTGCGCTAGTCAGGCCGCACCTCGATTATGCGGTTCAGTTCTGGTGCCCTTTTTATAGAATGGATATCAATTCACTAGAGTCGGTGCAGCGAAGAATGACGAAAATGATTCCGGGACTTAGAAACCTTCCATATCAGGATAGGTTAAAGAAACTAAACTTGCATTCCCTAGAAAGACGAAGAGTGCGGGGAGATATGATAGAAGTATTCAAGTGGGTGAAAGGAATCAATAAAGGTGATATAGATAAAGTTCTTATATTATCCGAGCAGGATAGGACTCGGAACAACGGATTCAAGTTGGATAAGTTTAGGTTTAGGAGGGAGATAGGAAGGAACTGGTTTACAAATAGGGTGGTGGACGAGTCGAACAAGCTTAGCAACTTTGTAGTAAGTGCTGGAACGCTGGAAAGTTTCAAAGGGAGGCTGGATAGATTCATGGATGATAGAGAGTGGTAGTAACTCTCGACAGGAGCTGCCATGCACAGGCCAACCGGCCTATTGCAGACTCCTTATTTTCTTATGTTCTTATGTTCTTATACCTAAAGCAGGTTACGTTATATTTCGTTACATTTCGTTACATATCATTACGTTACGGACGTTACGTTATGTTACGTTTTGTATGAAGCTATTCATTTATATGTATCATTACAAGTGAAAAATCATAAATATTATATTGGATTGTCGGCCATTAACTTGGTCAAACTTTTGTATTGACCAACACATGATGCCTTAATGAGCCTTAAGACATTGCTGCTGATTATAGAACATTCCGTTCTTACTGTAAGGCTGCTTTAATTCTCTAACGCTGTTGTACACAACCGACTTGGATGTTCCCACGGGTGTAGAGGTGAACCAATAGGCTGCTGACACGCCGGACAACATTGATGGCCATGTAAAATTTTGACTATATAGGCTGAAATACTGTTGTCCGAACGTTCATCTGCTAGCATGGGCAGCC